CAATCACCGATAATGTGAATTTGATTAAAGTTTTAGAATGACATGTTTCAACATGTCTTTGGCATTTGTATGTATAATATAGACAAAATTATTATGTAAAAGATAAATTGTTTAGACGGGAAAATCCTCGATCTATAATACCCTAGGTTTAAAGTAACAAGCTAACTCAATAACTTATATTCCAACATAAAACCATGTGGGATGGGTTGTTATACGATTTCCCGATATGGATCCCATTCCACGATGCAGATGACATGTGACAGAGATCAGTGACAGATGCACTCTATTGCGGGTGGGGCAAAGGTCTAGTTGAAACCAAAATATTAAGAGAACTATAAAAAAATTATCCTCAAAGTTTCTTCTTATTTACCTCTATGATTGTTCACCTATGTTTATTAACTATTAAGCATTCCTTTTTAATTTGTTACAAAAATTCAATGATGGATTTTATCCATAAATTACAAAGATTAAAGGTTATGATTGGTTCGCAAAGTTAACATGATATATTGGGTTAACAAATGAACTCACCTCTCTCAAAGAGAGAGAGAGGGAGAGAAAGAGGTGAGTTCATTTGTTAACCCAATATATCATGTTAACTTTGTGGATATATAGATAGAATGGTTCCTATCTTTTTGGGGTTTGTGCACCTAATTGTCCCCATTTTTGAGAGCCTTCGACAACCAATAAGCTCAAACTAATTCATATAAAAGTAGTATAAATAAAATAATAGTATAATGTGTTATTCAGTTTAATTTAAATAGTTAAAAAAAATTATCGAAAACAAGAACCATTCAACTTCAAACCGAATAACACGAAACCGTTTTAGTTTGGATAGGTTATTTAGCTTTGGAATTTTTTACACTCTTAGATGTTCCCCCAATCACCTAAATTTCTTGATCCGCTAACGATGGGGATGAGAATTACATCGTTGGTCCATGTGGTTCGTTCAGAATATGGATATCTCTATTTCAAAAAAAGTATTGTTGGTACTATAAAGTAATGACTTACACATGATGTCTTTCTAGAAGGGGGTTGAATACAAAACAACAAATTTCCACTTTGGTTCTATATCTTGTATTAAAAAAAAAGAATTAAAGATTTGTTTTGGAAGCTAGAAAGGTAAAATATGTGATCCTAAACAATCTGACTCATGACAAATTTGCTAACAGTGAAAGAGTGAGAGAAAAATATATTCTTTCATATCTAAAGGGCTAAGACAGTTCTTCAGATGTTGAAGCCAATTTTACCTAAAAAACTATCACTTAGAATTCTATCAAAACGAGTGAGTAGCAATGTATGACAAGGGTGCCATTTTATAGTTACTATTGCATTAAATGTTACTATCCAACTTTAACGCATGTCTTCATCTGATTTGTTGATTCATGCATGTTTATACTCTTCATTTAAGCCTTTTTTGATTAATGTAGACACTTGTATCCTATCTCATCCCTTTGTATGCCAAGAGAACAATATACTAATAAAATAGTAGCAGAACTTACTTTGGTTGACATGTTAATCATGTCCATACTACGATCAGTGTTGGAAGAGTTGGTGAGCAACTTGTTGGACAAATATCCACTCCAAAATCCGCCAGTAACAGTATTTGTCAGACTACTATTTGACTTTATCTTGTATTGCTTTTCTTTCAGCTAGATAACAAACCAATCCGTTTTGACGATCTTGACCTCACTTCAACTAGTTTGCAATTTTCTTGAAGGCTTTTCGTTCTTGTATCAATACAAAGTTAAAAGACTTTTACAAGTAAAAATCATATCTTTTTCTATTCTGAAATATAAGTTATAGATCGAATTTCATCTATAGAGTATTTATGAAGTAAACCTATCGTATTCTAAAATAACTTAGAATAAAATATGGGCTCTTGAAACTCAAGATGGAATGACCAAAAGGATAGTTCAATCGGATTATCCAAATTGGATGGAGAATAATCAAATTAAAGCTTTGATATCACAGTATATCTAAGCTATGGATCCGATGTTTGACTAACATCCGAAGCTTTAATCCTAACAAGTTACTAAGGTTTGGATGTCGATCCTTTTGAGTTATATCCTATTAGTGTTGTTTATCTGATATTAATGGTATAAGGTAAGTGATAAGAATTTCTATCTAAAGGGCTGCTTACCCAAATGCTTAACCGGTAGGTGCTTATCTATAGGAAAACACTATGATTTATTTTGATGCTTAAGATTTTAATACATCAAAACGTATTGAATGCAACACAATTTATCGGGTAAGCGCTTACCCGGGTAAGTGTTGTAATCTTCACTTACTGGATAAGACTCTTCATCATTTTCATCCCTCTTATCCGGTAAGATTCTTGGCCCTAATTATGTTCATCCGATGAGAAAATTTATCCGGTAAACATTTACCAAGTAAGCGTTTAGTAAACGGTCCCTAAGTGTTTAATCGAATGCTAGTTGTATTGTTTACAAATATGATGGTTTGAATTTTCTTTCTTTCTTACCTATCCTTAACGGAATTAAATTTTAAAATCCATTAAATTAGGGTATGTCGGTTAATTTATCTTTTTGTGTATTTTATAAATTAAAAAAATAAAAATATATTTATTATTAGTAATATAACATGTAATAAGTATACAANATAATAATAATAATAATAATAATAATAATAATGATAATAATAATAATAATAATAATTCCTAATAATTAAAGTTAATATATAATTTAAAAACATGTAATAAATTTAATGATTGGAGCGCAGGTAACATGCGTTTTTAGTTGTGAAAATCTTGTTATTATTCCATCAATGATTCTGTGTTTTCTCTTTTAACCAACTTCCATCTTATTAATTCTCTTTTATCTTTTTGGAAAAACAACCTTCCATTCTAGGAACGGTAACGGGCCGGTATCGGGTCTGGTATTGGTATCTCCGTCCCAGAAACCGATAGCTAAAACTGTTCTCGTAACCGTCTCGATCCCCGTCAGGGATCTTATCGGGGATCCCCATCGGGTCCCCGCGGTTTCTCCAATCCCCGTTGGGGAACCCATTAAAGGTAAAAATTCTTTTTTTCACCGTTGGTTATAACCGAACCCGAAACCGATCTGAAAAAATTATAATATGCTAATTTTCACAATTAAAAGTAAATTACAATTTTTTTAAAGATGTAAGTTTGAATGTCTCAAACATAATCGAACCAATTACAGACAATGTATTAGATTACAATATAAAATTAAACAGAAATTCAAACATCATACAACTAAAATCACGATTTTAGACAAACAAATTAGATTTTTTTCGTAAGCTTTATTTGGGTTGTTGAAGTAAATGGATAAAAGTCTTTTAAATTTTAATGTTACTATTTTCTTTTAATGATATTATATATATATATATATATATATATACACATACATACATACATATCGGGCGGGGCCGGGCCAGTGATCACCTTCCCCATTAAAATCCCCGAATTTTTCTCCGATCCTCGTCACGTCCCCGATAAGATGTCCTCGAACCCGGCCTGAAAGTTTCGGTTTTCAGTTTTCACCATCGGTTTCCAGTTTTTTTTTTTTTGCCATCCCAATTCCATTCCATTAATTTCATCATCATATAAATTTTCAAAAGGATGTTTACAAGATTATAACAGTAGACTCGAGTTCAAACGATGTGTGACCAAATCACATATGGTTTTACACTAAATTCACATAGCATGACCCAGCTTGTGGGCCCAATCACCCATGCACCTGTATGTGAATTGGTCCTTTCTATGTTATCTTATTTTAACCATATTTAGCAAATTCACGGCTTTAATTCTTCATATATTTACCATTAGGAGACATTTGGTTCACATAATGAAATTTGGTGGAATTAGAATTCATTAAAGAAACTTGACTTTGAAGGAATTGGAATGAAATTTGACTACATTTGGTTGATACGAATTGGAACGGAATCTCTCAAAAGAATTGGAATCTCCATCTTTGTTTGAACCACCCCCACCCTTCCCACCCATACAGACTAGTCGACCACCATGCCACTATTGTCATCGTCACAGCTACCACCTTGCCCCCGCCCACACCTTCTCCCCCCGCTCTGCCACCCCCGACTAGGGGTGTAAACGATACAAGACAACTCACGAGCTACTCGAGATCGACTTGCTCAGAGCTCAGTTAACACTCGACTCGAACAGACTCGGCTCGAACTCGAGCTCGACTCGACATATTAACGAGTCGAGTCAAGCTACCCAATACTCGACTTGAAAAACTTGTGAGTTACTCAATTATTTTATATATATAATTAGTTTTAAAATATAATCAGTTTTAATTAATTGTTTTTAAATTAAAATCACAATTAAAAAAGATAGAAAAACTATAAAAATGGTTGGTGAAATTATCCCACATTGAAATAAAGATGGTAAAGGGAGAGAGAAAAGACGTTATAAAAAGGTAGGGAGGTGAATGAAATTTCTAACTTTGTTTTTTTTATGATGAAGTTTGAAGTTGATTCATTTAGTTTTATAAAAAAAACCTAGAGAAGACCTTTAAGTTTTAAAATTTATAAGAGAAATAACCTATAATTTTATAAATTTCAATGGATGAACTTGGTTCAAACTTGATTCGAGTTCGAGTTCAAGCTTGATTCGAGTTATAGTTCGAACTTGAGTTCGTGCTTGATTCGAGTTCAAGAAATAGTTATTGAGTTTGAGTCGAGCTTTGATTTTTACTACTCATGAGTTTTTGAGTCGAGTTCGAGCTTGGAAATTGCGTTTCGAGTCGAGTATAGTGATACTTGAGCTCGACTCGCATCATTTACACCCCTACCCCCGACTACACCGTACCAACCACACTATTGTCGTCGTCACAACTAACACCATACTACCCTACATTAACACCTATAGAAGTGAATCGAATTCAAAGGAAGAAGAGGGAACTTAACCCTTGCTTCAATTGTCCTGAGTAGATCCGACGACCACCACCACCGTCCGGAGCAGATCCAACCACGACCGTCCAAATCGATTGTAGTGTCACATGGGGAAAAACAGAAGGGAGGAGGTTGCTTTGTCTGTCACATGGTTGAAGAGGAACATATTGGGGGTCTGGTTTCTATAATTTGAAAATTTAGTTTAGTTTTTTTAAATAAACTCATTATAGAAATACCACATTTACAAGGTTATTGAGCTAATTAAAACCTCATTTAAGGTTAATAAGGTAATTAACTCCTTAAATAGCCATATAGCAAGGCCTTTGTGGGGTTTGTAGGGGCAGGCCTCCAAAGGAAGGTTTCTAAATATCCAATCCAATCCAATCCAAGTGACAACTATAAAACCCAGCTTTCCAACAACCTCCAATTTGGCCCAACACATAAACCATCATCTTTGCCTTCTTCACCACCTCCCTCTATATTCTAACTCTTCACTCAAAGATTTGCAGCTACTTCTACACAACACTCTCCATATATACCCACACCCACACCCACACCCACACCCACACAGCATTTGCATTCTATGACATGGAGAAACACACAGTTACCAAAATGACTATTATCTCCCTCTTCTACCTCTATCTTCTCGCTTCCTCCAGTAGGTTTCTCTATTTCACCACTTTCTCTTTTCGTAATTATGTTTCATATTAACTTTTAACATATATCTTTTACTTTCTTCGTATAGGGGCGACAGCGACAATAATTGGCGTAAACTATGGGCGGTTAGGGGACAACCTTCCCTCTCCATCTCGATCCATCCAACTCCTCCAAACCATGAACGCCGCTCATGTCAAACTCTACGATGCCGACCATGAAATACTCCAACTCCTGTCAACCACTAAACTCGAGGTCACCATTATGGTCGCTAACCATGAAATCTCCGCCATTGCTTCAAGTCAAAGACTTGCGGACCAATGGGTCTATGAACATATCCTTAACCATTATCCCGATACCATGATCCGTTTCGTACTCGTCGGAAACGAAATCCTCAGTTATACAACCACCGATCAAGATAAGCAGATAATGAAAGATCTCGTACCTGCCATGGCGCGAATCTGGACCTCGTTAACAACCGAAGGCATTAACGACATCAAAATCGGTACTCCGTTTGCTATGGACGTCGTCGAATCAACGTTTCCGCCCTCAACTGGAAGATTTAAGCCGGAGATTGTTCACGAAATTGTACCGTTGCTGGACTTCTTGAGTGGGACGGATTCACTTTTCTTCATAGACGTTTACCCATATTTTTCATGGTCGGCTAACCCAATGAGCATAACCCTTGATTACGCTCTATTGAACGGAAATCAGACCTATACAGACCTTGGAAGTGGGCTAACCTACACGAATCTACTGGACCAGATGCTTGACTCGGTGTTCTTTGCTATGGCTAGATTGGGATACAACAATGTGATGATCGGTATAGCGGAAACGGGTTGGCCACATGAAGGTGAGTGGAACGAGTATGGTACAAACAGAGAAAATGCAGCTGTGTATAACCGCAATATCGTAAGAAAGATGACAGCAGTTCCACCTGTAGGAACTCCGGCTCGACCAGGGGTCACCATTCCGACTTTCATTTTTTCATTGTATGATGAGAATCAAAAGTTCGGTCCAGAATCTGAGCGACATTGGGGGTTACTACATCCTGATGGGAGGCCGGTTTATGAGGTGGACCTGAGTGGGCAAGCTTATTAGACCTGATTGTTAACTCGAACGATGTTTATCTTGTCCCATTTTGGCTCTAACTACGGTCTATTACATGCTCGATCGGCTGCATGTATCCATTGATTTCAGGGTCTTTGTAACACTCATCTAGCAATGAACAAAGGGAGGACGAGAATTAACATTAAAACCTACAAATTCCAATCTGTACTCGATCTCTTGTATCCTGATTTGAATCTTGGATCATCAACCCTACCACTTTGTAATCCAAAACTGATACTGGTTGTTTACCACCACAAATTGGTAAGTGCTAACCAAGTAAGTGAGGCTCTTGATCCTTACAGGGATAGCATCTTGGCTAGCGACATTATGGGTGAACACTATATTATACTTGCCGGATCAGGACCACTTACCCGCTAAGAAGCGATTAGTGTTTGGTAAACAGACCCTTAGGGTTTCTTTAGCATTTACCCTTAGTGTCGACTTCGAGGAAAGGCAATAAAAATGGGACCCATCATGGGACAGACAATACATTGCAGGCGTATGATTATTACGCTTCAACCGGGTTTTTTCTATTCCACCTCTTAGAAAGAAAAGAACTTAAATCAAAATACTTTGAAGAAATAAAGAAGCCATTGCGATTGCTGGAAAGACTGGGCTACTAGAAGTATTTTACTATTATTGTATGTTAAATGAGACCAAAAAGTAGCCAATCTAGCTCTTAATACAGGATCATTCAAGTCAGGTTTTTTTGTTATTGGGATAGGTTAATTCTTATAGATCCATCCCCCGAACTCCAGTCTACTCCATAAGATACGCATAACTTTTAAGAAAGTAGGAAGAATTTGTACAGTGTATGAACTCTTCTAAGTTAGGTGAAGTGCCATCTTTTAGTGTGGCTTCCACTTGGAACCTTTAATATAATGGTGCTTTCAAAGTGGGAAAGACAGAGAGCCAAAACAAAGAAGATGGAATCCAAGTTTAGCATCAAGATTCTTCTCTTCCATTGGTGCCTCTTCTTCCTCACCATTTCCTCCCTCCACCTCGGAGACGCAGTTTATGGGGCGGCAGAAAACAACGCAAGACCGCCCTCCAATGGTTCGTTATTGGAGGAATTATGGGAATCAGAGATCACCAGAAGGTATCTGGAAGAAAAGAGGTACATCTCTGTGGGGGCTTTGAAGAGAGACCAGCCGGCGTGTGGTGGTGGTGGTAGAGGTGAGGCTTATACAAAATCCGGTAGCTGTACCCCTCCTCCATCTAATCCTTACAATAGAGGTTGCTCAAAGTACTACCGATGTAGGAGTTAGCAAAAGTTAGCTTGCCTATATGCTTCTTGTTTATGTCAGTTGGAAGCCTGTTTCTTTCATTACTCAGTGAAGTTAAGTTTTTTTCATTTTTCTTTTTGGTAACTGTGGGTATCTGGTTACACGCACCATGATTAATCTCATGGGACCCGAAGATAACAACCAAGAAAATCCCCAGACTCAGTGACCCTAAGGAGAATCGAATTGGCGATCAATAGGGATTAGGGAGGGGTTAGTAAAGTTACCGACATGCTTTTTGGCTCTGCATACCAAAATCAGTAAATTGGAAGTATTGATTTGCTTGGTCGTAATTTTGAAACGTACTTCCAACTAGCTAGCGACATATGCTACTAATCAACAGATAAATAAAACTAACTTTGACAGCTGGCTCAACTACCAAATAAAGGCAAGACCTTGGGGGTAGAGGTGATCATTTGCGGACACAGGCCAAGCCTAACTTATTTTTTGTCCAATGGGCCTAATTAAGCAAACTCAAGCCTATTTTGCGGGCTTGATAACTTGCCATACCTGCCCTACAAACAAGTCGGGCTTGCCCATGGGGTAACGGGCCTAAAAAACTTCCATATTTGAAAAACTTATATAAAATCACAAGTTATGTAAAATTATTCAAAATACACTTTTTTTTCCAATTTGAAATAAGACGTAAAAACATAACAATGTATAGCTTAAGAACAAAAATAGTTTCATGAAATATAGATTATATACATTTCCCTCCAAAGCCCGGATTCTTCAACAACCAAAAATTTCACCACCTAATATTTCAAGATCGAGATCCGACACGTACTATACGCACAGCCACATATAGGATTCATTTGGCCGGCGGTTGGTACTCCGTAGAGGTATCCAGCCCAAAAGCATCCAAGTGGCTTCTAAATTTCTTTTCTAAATGAAAAGCAGTAATAAAATATTAATTAATCATAACTTTTAATTAATTATAAAAATATAAACGGTCCGGTGGGTCTGTCCAAGAAAAGTTCAAGCCCAGAAACGCCCATTAAGTTTAACTATCCAGGCCAGACCGCCTATTTTTTCGAGCATGGTTGTCCAATCCCGCTTTTTTAACAGGCCAGGTGGATCACACTGCCGGTGAACAACTCCTACTTGGGGCTCCTCCCCATAGGTCGCCAGTTCTAGTCTCCTCAGGCCCATGGAATTAATCAAGGTGCGCACAAGTTGGCCTGGACAACCACGGTTACCAAAAAAACAAAAACAAAAACTATCACCATTCACCAGTAGAAGGCGAACATTAGTCCCACACAAAGAGCGCATTTCGATCTTTTGGGTGTTATATCAGTCATTTCTGCTCAAAAAATGGGCTTCAAACTATCAAGAAGCCACCTTCACCATAAGAGACTATGATAGAGTTGAAACAAACCAAAATTAATTCATCTATTTAGTAAGAAAAGCAGTCAGGGAGAAAATACAGTGAACACTCGCTCAACTTCATACATCTGGAGATAAAATGACCATATTCTAACACAGAGATATTATTAGTATTACTTGAATTGGAGCTTCCATACCTCACGAACGTTAGAGGATCCACCACCAACCTCAGCAATTAGGCTAGCCACCATAACACCTGCGAGAAAACAACACGTAATCAGTAGCCAGTATGCACATCTATACAATAATTTGCAAACAACCACGGTTGCTGCTAAGATTTTATTGTTCTATAAATTTTTGTAGTACATCACAGAGAAGGAAGATTAACTCATATTACAAAAAGAGCCCAGATAGGATGTGGATAAGACAGAATCACCCTAACTGTCATTGTAACCATTCTCTAATAATCTCACAAAGTTCGTGTACAATCCACATCAGGCACCACATCCAACAATAACTTCTGGGCATTTGATAGAATATAAATTTAGACTTTCAAGTTGAAGGTGTTAATTTTCAGATTCAGAATTTGGTACATCTTGTCTTTCTCCTTTTCTTATAGCAATTAATAATTATTAACATTTTGTCACAAACTTAGCAATCTTTTTTGTAACAAAGTTCAATGCAAAAAATGAAAAGACTGCATGCCAATCTTTAAGTTGGGATTTAGACATTTAGTCCTTCTGACCTCAAAAGCAAACCCTATCTTTTAATCGAACAAAGGAAGAAGGAGCTCACCGTCTTTCTCAACCAATGATACGAATCGTCGTGATCCCCCTCCAACACCAAAATAGTACTTTTTTGCTGCCATGTAAACAACTCCATGAGGATGACTCATACACTGCAAGCAAACAAATCAACATTATGGTCAAGGAATTTTATGAAATGAAATAATAATATGAAATCACTGAGGCACCTTCTTTATAAGTTCATAAAGAGCAGGAAGAGCAGAAATTGAGTAAACTGTCTCAGCCATGAGAATGATATCATAACCAACAGATACAGTCGATCCTGGGCTACAGTTTGAGTCTAGATCATCTGTTTGTAGGTTGGGTAAGATTTGATGTACTTCACTCCAATCACCAGCAAAGAAACGGACTTCTGCATCGGTATCCCATGATTTAGCGTCTGCAGCTAAGGACTGAGACTTTACAGGAATATTAGCAACAACATTGGGAATCGTGAGACATTGCAGGACCTCAGAATTGAAATCTTGGAAATGTACTGCAGATGCACCCTGAAGTGTAAAAAATCAATTCATCTCCCACGTTAAAGCATCTTTTTGTAAAGACCAAGTAAACACCTGAATGGTTTACCTGCAGGCAAGAAAATATTCCGGGAAGCCCGTGTCCACAACCAATCTGGATATAACTGGATGTGGTTAGCAAGCATCAAAATATTCATGGAATGGACATACTGATACTAAATAAGCAAGAAATCGACAAGTAAATATTCTTCAAGAGGAAGATTTGGAGAAACTGTATTATAAAAAATATACTTCTGCATAGCAATCCGGATACATAAAATATGTATCAGTACGCTTCCAAAGACTACCTGATATGATTTGGAAATTGTAAAGATTCCAATATAAAAGCATACAACCATTTCAACAATAGGATCCCACCTCTAATACTTTCTTTCCAATCAATGATAAATTTCCAGATTCCACCTCTGACTGAAGAGACTTAACCAAATCTAACGAACCTTCCCATAGCTTTAGTCCCCCTAATCCACAAAACAACAGACCCATAAGCACAATATACACAAAAATTTTAATGTGCTTAATCAATATTCAAGGAACTTCGCGAAAATTAAGGAAACAGCATCCTCAAACCTTCATATTTTCCTGGTACTAAATCCGAATTCGACAATGCAAAAACTTCGTGAGTACTCACTCGCCCCTAGAAGATATAGGCACTTAAAACAAATCAACCCCCATGTAATGTTATTAAAAGCAAGAGCAGTGCTGAATTTCCCGAATCTTTAGCATCAAAAGCATCAAACAAATGGCACAGCCCAAGCATCCCAATGAAATTAGTTAAGTTTGTGAAGCCAGAAGACTACTTTCCTCGAACTAAAACGAAAACAACAACTTTTTACCATGCCTTGCTTAAGGAATTCGGTAGTGAAAAAAATAAAGAGTTTTGAAGCATTGAATGTTGAATTTTGAGAGGGGAAGAACCTATATTTTCTACTCGATTCAAACCAAAGCATCAAATTTTCCCTTTACCCAGTACTTTTCAGATGCAAATTTGTATGGAATTTTCAACAAATGAATTTCCAGCACTTTCTGTTGTAGGAACTTGTCAAACTCTTGTGTTTAGAATTTTAATCAATTATGAAGTTAGCATCTGAACACATTTGACGTAAAATGTCAAAAGCGAAAAAAAAAGGAGAATACATACCTTTAGCAGAGTAAGTCCATCCAAATTAACAGGCTCCAAAGTCGGTTTTACAGAAGATGAAACCTGTTAAGTGCAAACAGAAGTAGATATAACCTTTGCTTGGAAAATGGATGTTGAATAGATGGAAATAGAATCAATACCTGAGAAAGAAGAACTTCGAGGCAAGGAGGTGGAAGTGGAATAGGAGGCTTTTCCGGCGAATCATCAAGAAACGAAAACCCTAATTGTGCCTTGTTATCATTTGCGGAAGGAAATAGTTGGAACGAATCAACTCCTGATTGATTTGCCGCCATTACCACCGCGACTTCAGCTTTTCCAATATGCGCTTTCTGAAGTTTTTAGCCTCCTGTTGATCAGGACAGTAGGCACTGCTAGTACTTGTCGGCACTTTCGAGTTTTAAGCCTGGTTTGGGGGGTTCTTTGTGAATTATTAATAGAACAGGGTATGGTTTGGAAAAATGAAACTTTAAGGATACGTTTTGGAACTAATCGAAACTAATTGAGCATCCCTTGTATGAGTTACACGTGTATTTTTAATTAAATTATTATGTTTACATTCAGCTCGGAAAATTTAATATTATCACTTATCTTACATTTTAATTCATTAAAATGACATCGTATGTAAAAATCTACTTGGTAAGTATTAACTGGTAAAAGTCGTTATTTTTCACTTATCATGTAAGATTTTTATTCCTTGCTTTCGCTCTTATCGATCACGATTCTTACGTATTCATCTGGTAAGGCAATGTGACTAGATAAGTATTTATCCGGACGAAAGTTTAATAAACGAACTTTAGGAGGCATTTGGTTCGCGGAATTCGAAAGATTTTGATGGAATTGAAATGACAAATTCCTTTTAGCAAATTTCAATTCATTTGTTTGGTTCATTTCTTGAAATGGATGAAATCCTTCAAATTCTATTGAATTCTACAAATTAATGAATTCATCATTCTTTGGCATAATGGAAGAAATTGATTTTCATCACCACCCACTACGACCATGCTACTATTGTTCCTCATGCAGTCTACCTCACTACTAACCACCATGCCACTATTGTTGTCATCACACCCACCAACCTCCCCGGTCACTCACTACACATCCCTACTACGACCATGCTACTATCGTTACTGTCACGCCCCTAACCTAACCCTCACCACCACGCCATTATTATTGTTGTCACAAGTGCCACTCACCCCACCCCACCATACCCCACCCCACCAATAACCACCATGTCACTTATGTTGTCGTCATACCCACCCACTCCCAACCACCGGACCACCATCCCACCATTATCGTCGTCACAGCTGCCACCCATCCCCACCACTCCCGCCCCACTGCGCACCTGCCCCTAACCTAACCCCCACACCCTTATTGTCGCCTTCACAACCGCCACTCACTTGCACCTCACCCTACCCCAACCCACCACTAAACACCATGTACTGTTGTTGTCGTCATACCCACCCACTCCCGGACCCTAGACACCAAACCACTATCCTACCACTATCATTGTCACATCTAACCTTCCACCTACCCCTACCCACCCCACTCCCAGACCCTAATATAATGTTTCTTATCAAGGATCGAGAGAAAAATGTATATGAAAAATAAAGTTGTTGATTTCAATAAAAGATTTTCACAAGTAAAAATGTAAAGTTCGTTAAATATTTGTTGTACTTTGTTCAAAAAACAATTTTGATATAGAGTAATTATAACGTGTTTGTACGAATATGAATCATGTTCTATATGTTTTGTTAGATGTATGCTTAATAATTTAATATGAACGATTCAATAATTAGATCAAGAATTTCTATAAGATTTAATATCAAATGAAAAATGGTTATATGGTAAAATGTTGATTGTTTTTTAAAAAAAATATTTCTTTTTAAAAACTATAAACATCCAATCATGGATGAGAACGTGGTTTCTTTTTCATCATGACCACTTTCCTGAACCGTGGACTTTTTTCCCTCTCATATTTCTTCTCTCTCCTCCTACCTATAAATATGAGACTTCTTCTCCACTTTTCTCTTTACGCTTTCAAAATTCTTAGACAAAACTCTACAAAAATCTCTCCAAAGCAAGAATCCTCTAAAACTTCAAAGTTCTTTCGACCTTTTCTTTCTCTCAAACAACTAAGGTCTATATCTTCTTCTTCTTCTTATTTCTGTTATAAGAAACATTTAATCTGTTTTAAAAATCTTGTTCTCTTAATACATTAAACATTAAAGGTTATTTAATCATCTCTTTCTTGATTATAATCTTGTTTCTTTAAACACTTTCTACTTGAAAACCCTAATCTTTTTTTAAGGATTTTTCAAAAGAAGTTTTTACTTGTTTCAAAAACTTTCTCCATATTCTTATCCCAAAACTCTTGGTTTATTCTAACAACCTGTTTGTTCTACTTCTTATTGTTACAAACAGATGGCAGCCAAGAACGTCAACTTCTCCGTCGATGAGATCTCCATCAAGGCCAACAACCACATTGCCTTGTTGGAGATACCCTCATCCAAGGCTGACTACCAAGAGGCGGCTGACTTTCTCAAACAGTCGTCATTGGGTTACGCTCTCAAGCATGAGCCCATCATAGTGAAAGAACTTCTTCAACAGTTTTGGTTCACTGCTGAAGTTGTTGAAGTCGAAGTCAGGCCCGGACGCCAAGCGGAGCAGATCAACTTCACTTTCAACCGCATGGAAGTGAACTTTGGCGTCACCACTCTCAGGTCGGCTCTCCGCCTTCCCAAGGGCCCCTACGATAGCGAACCAACCACCGCCGAGATCATCGAGTTTCTCGACGCCATTGGCTATCAGTGGCCAATAAAGAAGGACTCCAAAGCCCCTCTGAATTCGTTGACAAAGATTGAGAAGAACAGGATGTCAGCTGTTTGGCAATACCTGTTTTCTCATTTCATCCAGTGCATGAGTGGAAAAACTGGAGGAGAGGACCAGGCATCTAGGATCGCCTTAACCATAGGCGTATCTGCAATTCAACGTCGCAATATAATTATGATGTAGTCATTTTCGATGACCTGGTGCTCAAGCTGAACAAACGTCAGCGAGAAAAGGTAGTGCCTTACACCAGGTTCATTTCAATGGTGTTTGCAAAGATCTTTAAAGATCTCTACGCCAAGGAAGGGAACCTCCAGGTTTTCAAGCTTGGATCCATGATTCTGGATCATAAGCTGAGGGACAGTGATGTGGCACTAACTTCTATTGTGTCTATCACTACCTCTTTTCCTCAGGTGGCCACGACAAGGGTAAACCCCCCTCCCCCGGCGTCCAGCCAAGCCACCAAAACCCCTTCAAAAAGACCCTCTCAACCAACTCTTGGTTCTCCTCAGAGAGCCAAGAAGTCCAAAAAGGGGACAGCCACGTCTCTGGCTAGAGCCTCTCAAAAGGCTTTAGTTATTAAAACAAGCCTTATCCTCGAGGCGTCTTCAGCTAACCCTCCTAGCTCTTCAGTAATTTCTCCCATCACTGTCGTATCAGTGGTCCTTACCCCAACTGCCTCAGTGATCCAAATCACTGAAGGTGTGAATATCAGCGCTGCCACCGCTGAACACTCATGTCTCTTCTCGACCATTTTCTCTTTTCCTCCTTCTTTGGTCTTTTCATATGTCGATGATGTATCAGCGACCGTCCTTCCTGATACTGAGACGCGCACCACTGGACCTGAGGTTGCTCCTCTCGATGCTCCTCAGCATACAGATGTCCATCCTCTCGATGACATCTTTGCTCACGCCAGTGATAATCCTTTTGATGTCATTGATGGCCCCTCAGGTATTCCATCTTCCTACCCGTTCTTTTCTACTAACCTTGAGCCTTTAGCTCACACTTCTTCTCTTACAGATCATTCTTCTATGCATCAGTCTGATGCTCGGGGAGAGGAAGAGGACGGGGGCGAGAAAGATGATGGAGGAGATGAAGATGTCGATGATGACTATGATATGGCATCTGATATCAAACTTCTCCTACAAGCTGTTGATACTGTCCTCTGCAGGATCAATGAAGTCCACCAGGAGATGTCCCGCCAGGGTGATCTTGATGTGAACTTCCTTGCCATCCAGGCGGACGTTGAAAAAGTTCGGAGTCATCTCTAGACTCTCCAAGAAGCTGTTCAAGCCAACACCGACGCCATTGTTGTTCTTCACAGCAGGGCTGACGATGCTCAGGCTATCGTCGATCAGCAGACTAGTCTTCTTCAACAGATCTTGGATGCTGTCCGTCAACTAACTCCAGTGATCGCGCCCAACTTCATGAGACGCATGAGGCAACGACAACTCTAGCCAATGCTCTTTCAAGGCTAGAGGAGATAATGGTTCTCCAGCGTCAGCGCTTGGACGAACTTTCTGGCCAGTTCTCTCAAGTTTTAGCCAGAGAGGGGGAGATGAGGTCCAATGCTGGTGAATCATCCGATGCTGCTTCTGCTCCTTCTCAGGTTGTTGGTCCAGTATCTTCAGTTGCAGCTGAAGCTGAGGCTCCTAGAGCTGAAGCGGTTGCTGCTCCTGTAATCCCGACCACCGAAGCTGCTCCAGCTAAGGATGTCGATGCCATCCCTAGGGATGATGCCCCTTCCATTACTGCTGCTGGTGATGATGATGATGTTGATGAAAATGATGATGAACCTACCATTCCAGACCCTGAAAGTGATCTAGATGGCGACGATGACGATGATGATGAAGATGACTGTACCATCAAGTACCAGAAGCCATCAACCGTCACCAAGGAAGTTGCTCTCAGGGATTCTGCATCCCAGGGGGAGCAAAGACAAATTGAATCTACTCCATCAGGGAACCAGGATCCCAAGTCGAAAGGCAAGACGATCGCTGAAGAAGGAAACTTGAAGGTATTGTTCAATATCCCTCAACAACTTTTATTTGAAGATTCTACCTCTCAGGTTGTGATTACTTCAAAATATCAACTTCATATTCCATCAACAACCTGCGGTCGACTGGAGTGGGTACATGATCACCCCGTCTCCTATGTTCCTACCGACCAGCAGATGTCTCAGATAAAGGAGTCACTCGACTAGACTAGAGTAAAAATTCCTCTTCGTACCTCTAGTGGTGGTGAGTTCGACTTCCTTTCTGAAGCTGAAAGACTCGAAGCATTGAAGGCTGAGGAAGAGCTAGAGCTTCAGAAGAAGCAGACTGAAGACAGCTTGAAGCTGGCCAAGTCACTAGCTGCGAAGGTCCTCCCCAAGAAAAAGTCCAAGAAAATGGTGAACGCTGTCCAAGCCCAAGCTAAACTTCTTTCTATTGCAGAAGTTGAGCATGAGAAGAACCTGAAGCTGGTGGAAAAGGACAAGCGATGGAGCGAAGCAAAGTTGAAAAAGAGAGTCAGTCCCCGCCCGATTATCAGCGTCAGCATCAG